GTTGAAAGTAACCACTTGGCTTTCTGCTTTGCAACAGTGATAAATTTGCAAAGAGACATTCATAGGTATCATTTCGGTTACAAGTAAGTTTCACTTCTGTAGCTTCAGTGGAGAAAGAGAGAGGAGGTATAAAAAAGTTGAATCAGTGATAGAGTAGTGAATTGCCTAATATGTTTAACATGATATTAAAATGTTTTAGTTAATCATCATTCATCAGCATTTTTAATTTGGGTCAGCTATATGTGGGGAAAGGTAAAGATGAATAAGAAAATAATTATGTAGTCTATCCTTTTAATCACCCATCTACCTTACCACCACCCCTGTACTCTTACAGAGACTAAGCACAGGGCTTATAAAAAGCTGCCATCGACTCATTCATCCACTCAGCATCATTGTGCCCATAACTATGGACCAGGTGCTATTCTAGGCCTTTGCAATACTGCAAGAAAGGAGGTGGGTACGGTCTCTGCTCATATGAAGCTTATCTTCTAGTGGAGAGATAAACAATAAACACACACACACGAAAATGTCGAGTCACGATACGTGCTAAACCAAGATTTAACGTGGGATCATGGAACGATTAAGTGCGGCTTCTTTAGAAAGAGTGAGCTGGGAAAGCGTCTGAAGATTAGCTGTGGCGGGGACAGGGGTGCACTCCCAGAAGTGAAGGCAGAGCAAGGGAAGGTGAGGGCAGGCAAAAAGTTGGACCAGCTGGAAACCACCAGAGCTAAAATGTGCAGTATTAATAAAGAGAATGTGTTGTTATTTTGACCACATTCTTGAATTGGATCAACTAAATAATATGAATGTAATATGGGGGTGAAACATTCAGGAAGTATTTAGAAACTTAGACACCTTGTACATTAGTTTCTCCCACCCAAAACATGCTAGAGAGAGAAGACTACAGATTAGCTACCTAGAATGACAGGCTTGGTGTTTAAGGGATTAAACAGGCAGAAGAACAGGTAAGAGAGAAGGGGAAGTCTGTGTGCTGCACTGTTAGGGCCCTTGATCTCAGCGATGCCCACACCGCCTTGCAAAGTCGGTGCAGTCAGGCACATCGTGCCGAGGTGCAAGCTGAAACTCCCTGAAGTCACACATCTAGAAAATGGAGATTCAGGTCTAGACCCACCTGTTTCCAAAACCGTGGCACCACCCAAATAGGCCTTTAGTTTCTGAAATTGCCTTCACACAATATTGTTCCAAGACCTTCATACGCCTTTCTGCTGTGGTGAGAAATTTTGAGTCAGCCAGATTTCAGCTCAGCCCTATTATCTGCCTTCTGACTCTCAGTTAAGCAACTCTTCCCTACACAGTCAGCCTCCCAGACAGCTTCCTGTGACGGGTCTCAGTGAAAGAGGGCTGCCGATGATGCACGTGCTTCCTGTGGGGACCAGTTGCAGGAGCAGAGGAGCGTCGGCTCGGTCTCAGTGCCAGACGACAAGTCTACAGAGGACACAGAGCCTTAAACATTATGTCCAAAATCATCTCAATTATTGAGGAACCCTTATCAAAAGATTCTAAACACCAACAACTAAGACAGAATTTGAAACTTCATGACTTCTGCTTGTTCTTTCATGTCAGGAGAGTTTCATTATTTGAATCTCACACAATAGCTTGAGCTGCAAATGAAGAAAACCAATAATAATACATACTTCTCAGCACTGTTTATTCTGTTTTTGATCAAATGCCCCCCGATCCTTGTGATTCCACACTTTTCAATCTACCCTGAAATAACATTTATCCTTTTCAAAGTCCCCAACCATAAATCAGCCATAATGGAAACTCTTCTTGCTTTTATTGCAAGGATATGTGCTCCAACCTTTGTGTCTAAAGTGTTTACCTGGCTTTTTCATAGCTGACTCAGTAGATTGGAACCTTTTAGTGCAACCTGCATGGCATGTGGTCACCAAATCCATGTGAAGTCTTTATAATTTTTGTATGAGTGATAGCATATAGCTTGAAGGGAACATCTCTATTTCCTGCTTGCTTCCTGCTATAGATGTAAGTTACTTAGTCCATTTACTTTCATGATTAGGACTTCAAAGGTAGAAATGTGAAGGGAAAGAGAAAAACAACAGGCTCAACAAGACTACTCGACTCTCAGGCGTAGATGCTTTCCACTACATTGTACTACTGCTCAGGGTTATAAAACCGAAGCTCCCTTTTCTGCAGAGTAACCCAGTTAGGGGGGGGAGATAAACAGTTAATCAATCAGTCAATCAATCAATCAGTCAGTCAGTCAAATACTATAGCTTTAGAAGGAGAAAAAGAGCTTCTTTCTTAAAATCCTATAGCTCCACAGGCTCCCAAAACTATTGTCTATGCCCATCTTTTAGACTTCCATCCAACCGCTTTTGATCCTACGTCAGCTACTATCATTATCCTAGATTTTAAATGCATACATTTGTGTTTCAAAACTTGCCCCCAACACGTGGATACATGGAACAGACTGACAGAGGTCAGAGGGGAGGGCATGGGGAACTGGATAAAAGAAGATGAAGAGAGTAGCAAAGAATGTATATGCATAGCGCATGGACACAGACAACAGAGGGCTGAAGGCGAGGGGGGGGCAGGGCTGGGTGGAGGGGGGCAAGTGGGGGTCATCTGTAATAGTGTCGACGATTCTTTACAAAACTTGCTCCCAACCTGCCTGTTTCTATTTACTGTGTCATTTCTTCCTGAAACAGTGTATGTGAAAGAGTTTAACTGTAGTGTCATGTCTATTGTAGATTTTATTACTAAACACACCTCAAGACCTTTGAAAAATGTTACCAGATTAGCTTTGCCCACCCATTCTTGAATCAGCTCAGTGACTATTTCACCTCTAACCTGGGACAGGCACACTTGTGGCTCAGCACCTCAGAGACGCATAAAGGAAGAACCTGCCTGAGGAAGCTGGTAGCCTGCCGCTTCCCAGCCCGCTGTCCCGGCTGCTTCTCTTCTCAGGCTGCCCCGTCGCCGTCCGGACGCACCTTCGTGTTCTTCAGTGTTTCTCTTGCTGTTCCTGTCGCTGTTCATAAACTCCCCGGGATCATGTCCATACGTCACCATTAGCCAAAAAATCTGGATAGTGTCACACTGTGGATCTGAACCATAAGTGGTGGATAATCTACTCATCCCTGAGCTTTATTTTTCTCACTTGAAAAATGCAAATAACGCTCTGGCTCAGCAGTTAAGAGCGTCGGCCTGTGGTCCGGAGAGACCCGGGTTCGGTTCCCGCTAAGGGCATGTACCTCGATTGCAGTTTGTCCCCGGCCCTGGTTGGTCGTGCGGGTAGCAGCCACTCAATGTGTCCCTTTCACGTCGATGTCTGTCTCTCTCTCTCTCTCTGTCTCTCTCTCTCTCTTGCTCTCTCTCGCTCTCTCTCCCTCCCACTCTATCTGAACAAAAAATGGAAAAATGTCCTCGGTTGAAGATAAAAAATAATTACAATAATATAAATAAATGCAAATAACACATACTCTATACAAAGTGGTTTTTAGAAGTTCATGAAATGATCATTTTAGTGTACAAAGGAGACTTGATAAATGGTTGTTCCATCATGTCACTTAATTGCTTGAAAAAAAACACACAATTTCAATAACACCTCTGTTGCCTTTCAGATTAGATGTAAATATCTCAGCCCAGATGTCCTCAGGGAAGGCCCACCCTACTTTGTCAGCCTCTCTCTGACTCCCCTCCACCTTCCACTCCGACCGAAAGTCCTCCCTGAATGCACCCTCCTCTTTCCCACAGGGGTGCTTTTGAGCCCCGTTGTGTTTTCAGAGGTGCTGTTGCTTACATAGATTCTTCCTTAATACCACATCTTTCTTAATTAATATCTATGTAATTTCAGTGGTTGAGAGTAGAGATGTAGAGTCCAACTCCTTGTCTATTTTCATATGGCTCCACGATCATCTAGCTCTGTGGCATTGGACAAGTCACTGATCTCTTAGTATCCTCCCCTGTAAATGGGGACAATAACAGTAACTAGTATAATGCTGTTGTGAAGATTAACAACAATAATCCTTGTAAGGACACAGTAAGTTCTCAGTAGATATCAGCTATTGTTGTTATGAGACTGTTTAGTTATTTCCTTCTCATTCAGCCCTGCAGTGCATTTCACAAATGATGAAAAAGGTTAAGTGCCCCTTTCAAAGTAACAACACGACAGTATTTGAAAAAGATGGGATTTGGAACCGAAGCTGTCTGGCTCCAAACCCAAACCTTTCTTCCACATGTGCTCACCTCTCCCCGGAACAGTGCCCTTGCTCGTGTGCAGCCGGAGTAACTTTCCCAAGCCCGTCCCAGGGGCTGCCTCCTCCAGCACTCGCCCTGAGCCCCATCCAGTGATGTTTCCTCCAAGTCCTCCCTGCAGGAGTCACTATTTCTACACAGCACTCTATTACAGTGACTTGAGTCCTAAATCATGACCTCTGGGGCACCAGGGTGGGCGTTTCCCCTGAAGCAGAACACTCTGCACCAAGTATATGTTTATTAAAGTCACCTGAATTGAACAGAGGGTCTTTAAGGTCACAAATGGGAAATTCTGTCCAATTCCACCCAGGAATCACACACTTCCTAACATGTCTCTGTGCAGTGGTCACAGGGTTTAAAGAGAGAAGCAAGGCCAGCCCTGGCCGGTTTGGCTCAGCGGTTGGAGCGTTGGCCTGCGGTCCAGAGAGACCCAGGTTCGGTTCCTGCTAAGGACATGTACCTCGGTTGCAGTTTGTCCCCAGCCCTGGTTAGGTCATACGGGTGGCAGCCACTCAATGTGTCCCTTTCACGTCGATGTTTCTCTCTCCACCTCTCTCTCCCTCCTGCTCTATCTGAACAAAAAATGGAAAAATGTCCTCAGATGAGGATAAAAAAAAGATAAGCAAGGCCAAATCCCTGCACTCAGGAATTTACAGTGTAATCAATGGGCTTTGAAAAGAGAAAGTGAAAGTGATTTGTAATTAATCAGATGACACAAACTGTCAGTCATGCAAACGAGCTCTCATTTGTTATTCTTACAGATACAGTTGTCTCCTCCAGCTGCTGTACCAGTTTGGACTGCGTTGTCACCTACCTCTTTAAGCACATAGCAAAGGAGGGCAAGAAGCCACTTCGATGCAGAGAGACCACCCAGGCTGGCCAGAGACTATTGCATTTTATGCAGCAGAACCCAGATGTCCTGCAGCAGGTAACTGGTGGTTGGTCACCTGGCTCAAGAAACAGATTCCCAAAAGACAGCCTGGTCCCAAATATCTCTGAGAGTACCTGGTCTTGCTGAGACTTGGCCACTGATTCCCCAGGAGCGCTTTCCCCAAAGGTAGTGCACGGGTTTTAGGATTATCCACCCTGAGAGCTCTCTCAGCCATTCATCTCACCACAGAGGAGCCAGAGTTCAAAAGGAGGCTAGCTGTTCCAGAGGCCCGGGAGGGAAACAGGGCAGAGCTGGAGCTAGAAATGGTTAGCCTCTGATTTCTTCCCTCTCATAATGTGGTCTTAAGTTTGCCTGCGAATACTCCAATGGTGTTGGGAAACAACCATTACCTGGGCTCCCAGTCTGCTCAGGCAGCTTGCTAGGAACATCCCATTCATCAGATCGTGGTTGGTGTTCTCCCCGTTTTAAGATGAGAAATCGAGGTTCAGATAGGTCATATTCCCGGGAGCATTTGATAATAAGTAATAAAGCCCCTATTTCTTTATTGTCAAATGTGCTTTCTGACTAGCTAATAGGAGTTAGGTCCAAGTCTCACACTGTTTCTAAAAACTGCAAATCAGCCCATCCGGTGTGGCTTCAGTGGTTGAGTATTGACCCATGCACCAAGAGGCCACTGGTTCGATTCCTGGTCAGAGCACATGCCCAGGTTGTGGGCCCGGTCCCCAGTACGGGGCATGCAGGAGGCAGCCAATCGATGTTCTCTCTCATCGATGTTTTCCTCTCCCTTACCCTCTCTCTAAAAATCAATAAAGAAAAAAACATTTTTTTTAATAAAAACTGCAGATTGCAGTAACAGCATGCATAAAAAGAAATAGCCCTGGCTGGTTTGACTCAATGATTAGAGTATTGGCCTGTGGACCAGAGAGACCCAGGTTCAGTTTCCACAAAGGGCACGTACCTCAGTTGCAGTTTGTCCCCAGTCCCAATTGGGGTTGTGTGGGTGGCAGCCAGTCGATGTGCCTCTCTCACATGATGTTTCTCTCTCTCTCCCCCTCCCTCTCTATCTGAAGATGAATGCAAAAATGTACTTGGGTGAGGATTAAAAAAAAAAGAAATATACATGCTGGAAACTTTTCTAAAAGAATAACACCATTTTTCTATGGGAATACCATCACTATGATATTTTCCAATTTAACTAGATTTGGAAAATGATATCTTTATAATGCTTCCGGTTATTTTATTTTGCCAAATTATCTCCATTATAGTCTGGTTTGCAAGTGTAAACACTTTAACATGGTCATTAACCAGCAAATAAGTCTCCTGCAATCAATAGAAAATGTCATTCTTGATGAGATAGGGTGAGACAGCCACCATGGAGGAGGTTTCTTCCTGAAATCATGTGACCTCTATTTGTAGTGATGTCTCAGTTAACCCGTTCTTTTCCTGACGGAGAGGGGGTAATTAAGATTGTGTATAACTAGGCAAAGGGCTGTGGACCTGTAAAGTGTGGTATGACCCTGGGGTTATTACATGTTGGTGATACAGTAAATAGAAGAAGGTAACTCACATGTACTGAGGACTCTATGTACAAGGTAAAAGAGCATTTAAGACTCATACAATACAATTTCACTCCTTAAAAAGTCTCCTGTCAGGCAGGACAGAGGGACAAGTAACTAACCAATTATATGAAGATTTGATTAATAGAGTGATAAGAGTCACATAGGAGAAGAGGACTTTTAAGGAAGTCTTCTCTTTAGACCCCATAACAACCCTGAAATGTGGATATCATCATCCCCATTTTACAGATGAATAAATTGAGGCTCAGAGAGATCAACTGGAAAGAAGAATGTGAATGAAGTTCTCTTTGGCTTAAAAGCCCAAGTCCTTACCACTTACACCATTGGTTCTCAAGGGCCTGGTTGGTGAGGATAAGATCTCAGATTCACCTAGACTGCCTTTTCAAAATACACATTCTATCAAGATTTGGGTGTATCTCCCTTCCCCACTCCCTACCTACCCAACCGTAGTAGCCACTGATACTGCTGGGAGTGGCTTGCAAGGAGAAGGCTGAGAACCACAGACTTAGAGCATGTAGCCAGTGGAGAAAGTAAATAGCCCAGGATTGGCCAGGGCACAGCCCCAGCCCCACCCCACCATGGCAAGCAACAAGTTCACCGCCAAATCCCTCCTGCCAGCACTCGGCCATGGTCACGGTATTGTCCTCTAAGCTTTGGCAGAAGCTTTAAAGCTGCTGGAAAATTTTAGCAAAATCAATATGCTGTGGCCCTAGACAAGTACCGTCAGACAGTGCAGAGCAGGTAATAGGTTGTACGGGAGAAAGTCAGGTTTGTCCTTCCTCAGAAGTACCATGCATTTGTTGGTTTAAGTCACTTCTGTGTGTTAATACTTGGTAATCCTTTACTTTCTAGTGTATGACTAAGTAGTGATATATCTTTATTAACAGTGGAATACATTCTATTTATTTGGAATGTAGGCTTTCAGATAGCACTTTAAATATTAATGATGGTATCTGGTAGTCAGCATGAATATGATTTGCATTAGCACTGGGTTATATCATTGAGTGCCTCTGATGTCAACTATTGGGCATAGTAATATCTGACATCATCTCCTTAGGTCACTGACAACTTTGACCTCTATTCTTATGCACAGTTTCTGTCATCTCAAAAGCTCTTTTGAATTGATTTGAAATTTTGACTCTTCCCTTTATGAGGCAGTAAAATTGATAATTATTCAGATGGGAACTGAGCGCTGAGTGAGAAATCAATTCCACCCGCTCTCTGCTGCGTATAAAATTACTTCTGAGTCGGCTGGACTGAACGGATGGCCGGAGTAAAAGCAGCAGGCAGGAGTAGTGGGACGAATGAGCTGGCCAGAGCTAATAGCCTGAAGGGATGGACTTGGAAAAGAGGGAGTGGGCCAGTTGGGGGTTATTATGAGCAAGGGTGGGTCCCATTGATCATCTGTTTACATCAGCTTTCCAAGACCTTATAAATCAGCCCTGAAGAGCAGCAGAACCCAAGATTCAGCCTCTTACCAGAGGGACTTTGTATTAGATTATTCTCACTTTCACACTCAGATGAAAAGTGAGCCATTGATTATTCATTGGTCGCCTATTAAATGCTGATTTTATAGATGATTTGCCTATCAGAGAAAGTAATGAACAAGGTTGCTGCTTCATAACTCGAGGTTTCAGTTTTCAAGACATCTGTGTCCGTTAAGTAATGCCTAACCCTATTAAAAGGAATGGGTTACAAATTGCTTAACAGTGCTGAAAAACTAGACCCTAATGACTAATTGTGCTTGGAGTTTAGAGAGGGTTTGTCAGCTCTTTAAACTAAACTGATGCAATGATACTGCAATTATTTACTAGTTTGAATTGTTTTTTCCCCCAACCTGGATCTATATTGCTGGAAGCATAATTGCATGAGGAGTGTCAATTCCAAATTGCAGAAGTTATCTCCTGAAGCTTCGAGAGCAAACGAAGCAGGAACCCACTGAAAGGGTTTTCCAGCGTCTTAATCGGCTTTCCATTTGCATGCAGCAGCCTGGGAAAGACACTTAAGTGCCTCTTACCTTAAATGTGTTTATTTTTACCTGCTATGTGGCTTTAGATCTTCAGTGTTTTTAAAAACATTCTCCAAATAAGTCATCTATCATATTTTGCAAACAAATCTAACTTTGTGAGTATTAAATGTAGTCCATTTGAAAGATGCATTATAATTAAGTGGCTCTATTTCAAGTAAGAATTATTGTCTAACCAGCATTGTTTTGACTTAACAATTGAGAAAAACTCAGTTTACATATATTAAGAAAAAATTCCCCATGTGTATTTATGTCATTAGAAAGATAAACCAAAATGTCAAGAACAGACCAATAGTAACAGTGAGTAGGCACCGATCTGCTATGGTAATTTAGAAGATCAAAGTTCTGCGTGAAGTTTTTTCAGTTTTATCACTGGTCACGTTGAGTGTTTGCATCTATAACCCAGAGGTCAGCATGTATTTAGTTATCTCACAGAGTGAAAGATTGGCCCAAATTAGGTAAATGAGGGAGTGAGGCATTTCAAAGAGGTAACTAATTCCTTTTCAGATTATAAGAATAGGATACCAATGCTGAATGCTTCTCTAAGTCAGAATTTCAACCTAAACTAATTACTCTAGAAAGAATAGCACCTTCCAGAGAAGTAGAACAAGAACTATGTATCCGTGTTACTGATTAGATTACACAATTAGCTTATTAACAAGCTATTTTTAGCGATTATATTCTCTAAAATCTAAATATAGTGAATGGAAGAATTAAGATATTTACATTTGAATTTATCTTACCCTCATCTATTTAACTATTTGGCTCAAATACCAAAAACCCAAAAATGTTCTAATTATGATCTCTCTCCCTCCCTGCGCCGCCTCTCTTTTTGCGATAACCTGGCGTTTAACTACGAATCGTGAAGGGCTGTCAGGAGCTCTGAGCATCACCCTTCAGCGGGGACATAAACGGAAAGAACATTCACCCTTTCCTCAATCAGTCAGTCAATCAATGAAAATTGCTTTTGTATAGTGCTCTTCATGACATACATCCCAAAGTGAATTACAGCAAAAGGGGAATCATCTGCTCTTTTTTCATTTCTGTGTTTAGATTGAAACGATATTGCTCAACATTTTGACATACTATACAAGACATCTTTCATCCTTAAGATTCCATTCCATATAGTAAGTAGGGGAAAGTGCAGTCGCATATTTAACTGATGTTGAGATTTTGGCCGCTAGAACCTTAGCAAGACTCTCACAGTGGGAAACACTTAAGCAGATGAAATATATTCATGTCTCTTGGCCTCTTAAAACATAATTAGCCAGATTTTCTAATGTTATTAAAGACATTCTAGTGAACCCAGATAGAAAGAGTGCCTTGCACATGACCCATTAGCTCAGTCTGCTTGATTTGCAACTTCATTATTAAAAACATGGCAGTAGATTGACATCAGAAACGCACACTGAAAGCCATTCACAAAAGGATCT